CCAACTAGCAAGTAAAGCTGCGAGCCATTGCACACGGAGTACTCGGACGAGATCGCCTTCGCATGGAATCTGGACAGATATCCGAGTGAGCAGCTTCGCGCGGGGGGGCGAGGGGCTTATTCCAACCTCGCTAACATTCATATCCCCATCTCAGATACTCTCCCGTCGTCAATCTCACGCCCCTTCAAATCCACGCCCCTTCGAATCGTAGTGCCTCATGAGACTCAAACGACTCATGCCGTGCTGGAGAATCGCCGTGGCCAGCATTATACAAGAAAGGTCCAAACTACTGGCGCACGAACGCGGTTGGATCTTTCATCAACGATGAGTAGGGCGACAATCATCAAGAGTAGAAGCGAACCCTGATTGCCACTACTGTACACTGATATAGCGAGTAGACGTCGCCTGTCCAAGGAGCAAGTATGGGGATTACATTGCCACTACTGTGTTACATCCATGTTACATCAGCTATGGCCACTGAGTGACCGATACGTCGAAACGCACGGCTGTATTGTTGATACCCAAGGTAAGGTTGCATCCTGATTATCAAGTTGAACCATGATATTTGTAGTGTCTCTTACCTTTCGTTGGTTAAGCAGTATCCGAGGTAGAACCAACCCGAGACGCATTCAGCTCGGGCAACATGGTATCTTCAAGGACCCTGGTACTTCGCTCACTGCTCACTTGATCTGGTCCATCATTCGAATCAGCAATTCCATCTCATGGTCCACTACTGCCTTGGGGCACTTGGAAACTCTAATTATTGTGAACAGCAGGTTATCCGTAGTCATTTTTGAGCTGCCGGTGGATACCTGACGAACAAGGATTACTGTAAGGGGTATATCAGTCTGTTGGTATACGATATGATATGTCATGTTTTGGCAAGGGACCCTAAAGAGGGAGATATATGCAGCATGCTGTAAATTTCCATATTATTCCTTGCCCGTTTCACATGCTAATAATCTCAGGGAAATACGAAAATAACCAAAGGCATTCTCGAGGCTGTGGTTGATAATCACATGTGAAGATGTATCTCGAGGAGATCACATGGTCTATTAGGCTGATGTCCACAAATGATGACCGTGTGAATAGGGACAATTGAGCCATATTCAGGAGTAACTCTGGAAGGAGTCAGTCAGTATATCACAACCAGCCGATGGTATACTCTTGTGACTGAGTCAATGTCAAGAGTGGCGTCCATTCTAAATTAGGTGAGCAATCACCAAGGTCTGGGACCGCAGGCGACTCGGTCAGGTGAGAGTTGAGCCGCAAACTTACTAGGGCTAGTGACAACGATTCACCGGCTACTTGGTACGCGAGCCTGTGTGTCACCTCCGCAATGGTAGCAAAGGCGGGTAACCAGTATAAGAAGTCCCGCATTTTGCAGCAACTGCCGAGGCTTGTCTTACGTTCTGAAGCAACATTCAACATCCACCCCCATTCAAAATGTGCCAGGTGACTGAGGCTGGGGGCGTGGTCCATCAAGTCGGCTAGACGCCGGGCGCCGACCGCTTCAGAGGCCGTTCGCGCCCGCGTTGCCGCCCATTGTCACACCTCGCTGAAGCGGCTTCGGTCGGCGGGAGGTTCCCGAGTCAGTCCTAAAGCGGAATGGGGCGATATCGGAGGCTGGCCAATCCCACTGGCCGCTGGTGGAACCATCGTCTGGCGTCTGCCATCCGCCAGCCTGCCGTTCCTTCACCGTGCGGGATTTGACCTCTTACTTCATCATTGCCCAATCGTCGGCGATGGGCAGATGGGCCTCAAGGTCAGCCAGTGAGCTTCTGGCCCCGGCTCTGGTCCCATCTATTCAATGGCCGGAGGAATGCAGACCGAGATAAGTGATGAGCTCGGAGGGGTGGGGACATTGAGCTCACCGGGTCCCGACGATGAGATGGATGTGGCACCCGCTGCCCGCTCCCGCCACCTCTTTTTTCATGTTGTGCAAGGACGGCAGGCGCCATGGACAAAGGTGGTTCGGTCCGATCCTGATGATGTGCTGAACAGTCGCGCTGGTTGGACTATTCCAAAAGTCCAAACCGACATTTTGAGAAGGCGAATTTCAATGTCTGGGGCGGTAGAGAATCCATAGCTGAGAGAGGTTCGGCTGTAAATGTTGATGTTGTTTTTCCTGCACATGCCATGCAGGCCGACAAGAACAGACGGCGCGACGGCTATCTGAAGCGCGAATCCCACCAGTATGTACGCACGTCTTTCGTGCATATGCCGCTAATCATAGACACACCTTGACTGTGCCAGGTCGTCGACACGGCAGGAGAGGTCTGGAAGGACGAATACAGGCATACCGTAGAAGTGGATATTTGCCGGCTGGATGGTCAGTGGTGTTTTGACGCCGGCCCTTTGTCGATGGGAATGCCGGAGTTGCAACGTTGATACACACAATAGAGGCATAGCCACGGTGTAACTGGCAAAGGGTGGCTGGCAAATCGAAATGCGACTCTCAATACTGCCGCCTTTGCCAGCCAAGGCAACTCAAGAAGCAACGACGCGATGAACACAGCGTCTTTCACCCGTGATCCTTGCAACTGGCAAACTTAACAAGGGAAAGCATGTTTTGACTTGGGCCGTTGCATCGCATGGCCATCTGAGTAGACAAAAGCATTGCAAAACATGCAGCAAAACGTTGCGGCCTTCATCTCGTTCGAGGGGAAGTGCAGATGCAGCGGGATTGTGAGGTGGATGATGATTCGTGAATCAGGCCAAAAGAAAGAAAGACTCAAGTGCTAGTGTGGGGGGATGAGCGGAGACCTATCGGAAAGGGAGTTGCGGTGAGGCTGGCGGTATTTTCCGGTGAAGTCAGACTCATTGGTTGAACAGGTGGGCGAAAGGAGTGAGAAAGTGAGAGGATGGATGGACGCAGCATTCGGTTCTTGTTCGTGGGGCAAAAATCGGTGGATGTGACCGACTCACAGGCAGCGCGCAGCGGATGGGATATCGTGAGTGAGTAGGAGAGGTATCGACTCTGTCGAGAGACAGCTTCAGGCTGGATTGGGGCAAGTTAGCCTGGCGAGCCCAAGCAAGGTAGATGCCGACCTCAAGTCCAATCTTGCACATCCTTGAGGATAGACCAATGGGTTGTTGAGGTATTGCGTAACGAGATAGTGCTCTGATCTCGAGTCTGTAGGTCTCCAATGAATCATATTGTTCATTGTTCTCTCTGCATTGGGCTGTTGTTGATGTCCGACTAGAGCGCGGATAATTAGAAGAGGAACCGAGCCATTGGCCCAGGGCTGTGGGGGTTGACAGCCCCCGCTTGGATGCATTGGAGGTGCAGTAAAGGGTTTGGTGGTCAGTTGTTAACTTGTTGGAGACTTGCAGTTGCAGGCTTGAGCCCGAAGCCTGAAGGTGAACCAGCGACTCAGCTAGCCGATCTTGTTACTCGGTGGGCGGAAGAGCAGGGAGCGGGCGGGCGGGACGAGACCTAACCATGAGACGAGGAGGCACAGCGTATCCGTACAGCGAAAAGTGAAGGAGACGGTGACAGGGACAGGACAGGGTCCACGTGGTGCGCATGACATGTCTTTCTCTGCCAGGCCCGGTTGGTGTTGCATCGCCAGAGTTGCTTCCCCATTGTCCTTCTCGTCATGATTTGCTCCATGGATGCGGGTGTTTTGATATCGTTCCTCGCTTCCATCAGTCAGGCAGTGAAGAGGCAGGGTTAGGCAATACGCGCAAAACGGCTGGCTGTATGGAAGGGGATGGAATCTCGTGAAGTGTAGTTTTGCGGCGACAGAGGTCATTGACTTGGGTCTCAGCTGCTGTTTGGTTTCCGAGCTTCTCCGTAGTCAAGCCGCACATGCCAAGCGGACAGGACATGGCTAGACGCCCCCTAGCCGAGACACCGAGAACAGACGTTCACACCATTCCTCGGTCGGTGAGCATATTGGCTCGTTGAAGATCATCGGCCGGGCCGCGCGACTCAATTGATGGGCTGGGCTGGGCTGGGCTTTATTGACTGGGCTGCGAATCCTGCGCGAACGCCTGGATGCCTTTGAATATCGGGCGCATCTGTCGACTCTTCGGGTCTAAGTGAGGCCATGCCAGATCGTAATGCGAGAAGTTGTCCTTGTGAATGTGTGCGTACGGATATGTGTGCATGCCCAAGACAACGGATCTTTCAGTGTCCTGGACATTTCTGCCCTGCCCTCTCCGATCCCATGCAATGGTAGTTCTACCTTGCCCTTTGACTTGGAGCTGAAGGTGTGGACACTGTCGCAGTGATGGCTGGGAGTCTGGGACGCTTCAGCAATGACCCCATAATTCTACTCGATTCAAGCATCTCGTTAAGATCTAAGGTGGATCGCGGGGGAGAAGGGTGAGCAGACAAGAACTGGCTGGCCAAGGTAACAGGTCAAGGTACGGATGCTCTGTGTGGTGGTGATACCTAGGCTGACGGTTGGTGGTAGACTGGATTAGGTGAGGTGGTCAGGTATTAAGGTAGGCGGACGAGACAAGACGAGAAAACGCCGATGGGAGAAAAAAAAAAGACTAGAGGTTCGGAGCAGAGAGCGGCGGTTTAGCGGTTTGGCGGTTTGGCGGCAAGAGCAACCGTCGTATTTCCTCTCTCACCTGCCAACCCGAGACAGGTCTCCCGTCCTCCATGCGTGCCATGGAAGCTCACCGTCGGGCAAAGTCACTTCCCTGCCAAAATGACGGCACGGAGTACCTTGAGGTCTTGGATAGGGAAGGTGTCCCCGCCACGGCGCAGCAAACTGCCCGTGGCCCATCGCTCCATCCCACTTCACACCTCGCACCTTCCCACCTTTTGCAGAATCTGGTGCGTGCGCGTGTGGAGGTGAAAGGTCACCACCCCCCAGTGGCCCCCCTGGACCCTTCCTTTGACGTGCCAGGCGCTGTTTCCCCCTCCTTCCCCTCCAAGGGTTAAGGAAAAAAAATTAAAACGGTGCCGGGTCAAGCGCTCCGCGAAGCCTGACAAGTGAGGTTGTCGACTTTCCATTTGCTACCTTAGCTATTCCTGGATGTCAGGTAAGGTAAGGTAGGTAGGTAATGGGAAAGAACGCTGGAACAATAACTACCTCAATATGCAGTGGCTGGTACAAATGCGGGTGCGGCTTCCTTTCCGAGATGTTCCAAGGTCGGGTTAGTTGAGGTGAGTTGGAAAGAGTGCACCTCAGTTCCTTCCTTCCATTAGGTTGAGTGACTGAGTCCAAGTGACTTGAAAGAAATAGCATGAGGCAAAGTACCTGCCTTGGGTATATCAGCAGCCACCACGGAGACGAGGTACTTCATGAGTACATACCTTTCTCTACCTAAGGTAGGTAGCCCAGAATGCAGATGCAGATGGCGATGTAGACAAACCTGAGGTGCACCATGGGGTAGCAGGTGAGGTGGGCTGGCCAGATCGAATGGAAGCTGACTTGGAGGTTAAGACTGGCACGACTAGGCTCGGCTGGGCTGTGTCGTGCGACTTACTACTGCGCACCTGCCTTTCTCTGCTCCGTACGAATGAATACCCGACGACTGCTTCCTTGAGCCCATTCTTCTCTCTCTCTCGTGCTCTGCCATAGTTTCTTATTCATTTCTTGTTCAACTTGCAAGTGCCTATCATCCTACATCCATCTCCCCGAAAAAACGATTGAGCCATTCAGACCTCAAAGCTTGCCTTGCATTGAATCTCGCATGGACGTAGTCACCTAAGGTGCAACGGAGAGTTGAGGTGAGCGAAAACCTTGTGCGAAGAAGAAAATATGATGATGTTCACACTCATCCACGAATGGAGACTTTGGTGAAGCGTGATGCTGGAAAAGAAGAGGAACCCGGTCCTCTTGTTCTTGAGATATCCACACCTGCCAGTGCAACGACTCAGAAAACTTGAGGAAAGGACCGGGGGCCTCGACTCTGCGGGGATTTCTTTACCTTACCTACCACGCGTCTTGGCTTGTGTACTCTGTCTCTCTGTGTGTCTCGCTCTCTAACTCCCTTTCTTAGCAAGCAGAGAGTAAAGACGGACGGAAACGAAGCAGCAAACATCTTCAGATACCTTGAACCATAAGACCCGGTGAACGGAACATAGAAAGAAGGCCGACTACCTACAGAGCATCATCAAAGAACCAGAGTAAAACCGCTCAGCGTCGGCAAGCAGCAGCAACACAAGAAAAACATCAGACCGAAACCCGGACCCAGACCCGCTCGATAAAAGTCACAACCCTCACCTGGATCAATCACTCAGCACCAAAGCCCAAGCATCGAAACTCTGTGAACCCAAAATCCACAACATCCACGATCCCTGTCGCAGGGTTGTCTCGTTTCTCAGTCTCGTCCCTCTCCCTCCTACCTTGCCTTGTGCTGCACCTCTGCAAGTCACTCGGTTCACCTCAGTCGACGATACTCGCTCGTTACCTACCAATAAGGGCTTTTTAACCGCCGTATCTGTTTTCCGTGTATCTCTGACTGCAAGAAACTCGGAGAGAGGTTTAGTTGTACCGGCCCGGTCAACAGATTTCCATCCATCCATCCATCGATCCATCCAGACTGTAAGTATGTATGTCTCTCTTTCCACCTACGTAGGCCCAACTTGCCCCGTCCCCTTCACCCGTTCCCATCCCCATCCCCATCCCGGCCTGAACTGATCGGTACCTTGCCAGAAGTATCCATACCTCGTCGCTTTTTCTCTTCTCCCACCACAACAACAACATCCAAATCCACGCAATCGACATATTGGAGAAGGTTTTGCACCAGCCAGAGGTACCACCAGCGACCAAACCATAGTCCACTACTACCTCCACCACAACCAGCCCACCACCACCACACTACTGCGTACGGGCACTACCAGAGGTTCAGTACCACCTCACCTCCCGATCTCAATTCCCAGCGCCGTACCTTGCCGGGGGTCCTGGCCCGTGCTTTCTTCGCTCTTTCCCTCTCCGGTGCTCGGTGCACGTACCCTTAAATCCTGACCGACCGACCTTATTTTTATTCGTGCACCTTGGCCTCGGCCCTCATCCTCCCACCTTCACACACCTCGAATTGAGACGGTCGTCCACCGAAACCAAGTCTGATTGTCCTTCTTTTATTCTCGACCGTCCCTGCGGTGGTTTCTTCCGGTTTCCGGGTCTCAATTGGCATCATTTGCCCTCGGCGCATTCTCTGTTTGGCTGCTCCCCGCCTCCGAGGACCCGTTTCTTTTACCCCTCACTTTTCTCTGGTCGCTCTTTCGCGTCGGTGAATCTCGGTGGGGCACCACCACACAATCTGCCCAACTTCAAAGAAAAGGCGCGACAGCCAGACAGAGTCAAGTGCGTGTGTGTATGAGAAGAGAAGGGGCGCGGGAATTCCACTAGCCACCCTCTCTTCTTCTCGAACCTCTTTTCTTCTTCTCTCTTCTCTCTCATCTTTTCCGCCACATACAATTACACCAACGTACACCGAGGATGGGTCAAGGGTAGTTGCTGCTGTGACAAAGGGAATAAGACAACACAACTTGCAAGCATGCATCCGGCTCCGAGTCTGTTAGAGGCGCCTCCGAAGAATGGCAGCGAGGAGTCTGGAAACAGACCCCAAACTGGCTCACCTTCAATGTCTCATCATGAGCTGCCTCAATCGCAACAGTCTCCGCTCCAACAACAGCAGTCATTGCCAGCGCAGCATCAACCGCAGCAGCAGCAAACGACTCCTCAGCACCAGTCCCAGCAACCTCCTCCCACCCCCGGTCAGTCGGCTTCTCCTCCGCTGAGGAAGGACACCAACTCGTCCATATCAACTCAGGCCACGGCGGCATCCGCTGCCACCAATATGTCCGTGGACACAAGCAACACATCGTACAGTGCCGACACCTCTCCTAACTTAACATCCATATTCCATGTAAAGGATGGCTCCGACGTCTCTAACCGGGTCCGCGCGAGCAGGAGGCGAACCGGTCCTTTGTCCCAGCAACAGAGAGAGAAAGCCGCACTCATCAGAAAGCTGGGCGCCTGTAATGACTGCCGCAGAAGGAGAGTTGCAGTAAGTCACCCGTGACCCCTTCACGTCTTTATTATCAAAAAGTGCTCACCCCTGCTGACAATCCTGCCCTTGCCAAGTGCCATCCTAGCCATCACAACATGACATGGGAGGATGCCGTCAGGAAATATCATAGGTCTCACAGTCCCAGCATCCAGGATATCGCCCCGTCTATGGCTGGCCAGCGGCCCCTCAGCCCAGCGCCGGCCCTGAACAACAACAATGTGAAGTCAATGTTCACGCAGGACCCCGAGGAGATGGAGATAGACTCCCCAACGCCTCCTGGTGGTCACCGGCTCAGCGAGTCTCGCATTCGCACGCCACTCCCGACCGGCCCCAGGCTCGACAAGCCTCCAATTTTGCCTGGTATTGATAGTCTTAAATCTGACTTACAGACCAATGTTTCGAGAATTCTGTCTACTCCCAGTCGGAGCCGCTACTCAAGTGCGCAGGCCTTGCTTCTGTACTGGCAGGACGACCCTGATTTCAGCGTTGGAAGCTCCGTCAAAGAACTTGGAGAAGTTTTCGACCAGTATTACCGGTATACGTTTTCGATCACAACTATTCCGTCTGCTTCAGAGGCCTGCAAAAGCCCTTGGAGATGGCTCTCGCGCAAGATTACCGACTTTGTGGAGGACCGTGATCAACGGGACGTTCTAAAGATTGTCTACTACAATGGTCATTCCTACTTAGACGGCAACCGGGAAATGGTGCTCGCCAGGTGAGTACTTCTCAAGTAGCCTTCTCAGGAGGCTTGGAACCTAACGTCTTGCCAGCTCAAAAGACAAGGACAAGGCCGAGACTATCCGGTGGAGTGGTATTCAGCAGGTGCTTGAGGAGGCCTGTTCAGACACTCTGATTGTGATGGACGCCGCATTCTTTCCATCTTCCAAGATGCACCGCCAGCAAGGTGTCTTGGAACTGGTGGCTGCTGCTGTATCCGAGGAGCACTTCGATGCCCTGGATCGATGCACGTTTACCAAAGTCCTCACCGAGCACCTAAAAACACGCGCTTCACAACGATTCACGAGCCCCTTCTCTGCCGCAGAGCTTCACTCAAAACTACTGTCCAATTATCCTTCTCTCGTTCAGGATAGGAACCCTGAAAAGGAAACGATCACCAGCTTTCCATCTCCGCTCCATATGCAAATGTCGGGAAACGCTCGACTACCCTCAATTCTTCTCGCACCTCTTAACATTGGTCCCTTGAGGACGAGCCTTCCGTTCGGTACAGAAGGTCAGCAACTGGTACTGTCATTCCGGATAGGAGACGAACCGATCGACATTGACAACTGGACCGAATGGCTGAGAATGATGCCCGAGGGTGTCAAGGATGTGAGGGTTGACGGCCCTTTTCGACCATCTAGATAGGTTTCTGGTGGATTGAGACATCCAAGAGACGGGAAGCTGGGTCACTCGAGACGGGCGTCGAAATAACTTGACGGTGCTTTGACGCCGCATTATACGTTTTATCAATTCTCTTAGTCCTACTTCGACAAAGGACACCATCAGGGGGAAACGACGAGGCTACGGAACAGACCAGACGCTGCGTAGGTTTAAAACTTCACTGTCAGGCGCCACAGTTTGAGTTACTCAATGAGTGATCAAACCGACCTGTCTCCGCCGAAACTCCTGTTCCTCTCAGAGCCCTTTGCTGGGCCTGCTTTTACGCGTTAATGACTGATTTTCACGACATTGCATCATTCATACCTCCTCGTTAGGTCTGGGAGGCGAACGGTCGGAGTCGGGAGAGTCATACATATTATTTTTCCACAGCAAACAACCGGGCGTCCTGGTCAATCTACATAGGATTTGGGAGGAGGCCCGGTATTGGGGGCGAGAGATTTCACACAGCCTAGCGAGGAGTAGAGCGTGTGGTATGCTCGGCGTGGGAAATATCACAGGAAAACGGGAGGGGGAGGAGCACAGGAGCCGTGGTTCTTCAAATGGCATTACATGCAGCCTGTTGATGCAGTCATGTTTTACATGGAAGGACGTTTGCATTAGTGGATATCCCCAAATTCGCCTTTTTAAAGACTACGCATCTCTCTCTTCTCTCTCACACACACTAGCATTTCTCTAATGAGTCTTGCAAACAGAGGTCTTGCTTCTTCTCCAACGTCTCTGGTTTTAACCCCCCCCCCCCCCACCCCCCCCCCCCCGCCCCCCATCCCCACTCCCCCCGCCCCCCTCCCCACGCCCACCCCCCCCCTTGTCCCCCCCTACTCTTCTTTTATGTCTCTTTCACACCACGTTTTCTTCTTCCCCCCCCCCCCCCCTCTTTTCCCCCCCCCCCCCCCCCCCCCCCCTCCCTGGCCGGTGTAGTGAATATGTCCGTGATCCTAATGCTGACCAACTCCAGAGCAGTATCCTGTCTTCCTGCTCTCAAGGGAGCGACGGTGGTGAAGAAGAGTCCAAACATGACCTCCTTATCCTCAGAGGAACAACGTAGTTTCAGAAAAAAATGAATCCAATGCCAGCCGTGATGTTCCGTAATGTTGTATCAAAGAAAAGGCCGTTAATGCGCAAAATTTCATGACAAAAACCAAACTCTTAGATCGCCAGCACCAGCGCCGCCGCCGCCGCACTCAACACCCCAGTCGCAAAACTGACACCGGTCCTCGCGGCGGGACTATTGGCCTCAATGTTGCCAATCGCAAAGGTGGGGTTATAGTCCACCTCGCGGGTATCGAGCGTACCGTTCCAGCAGTACCGCGAGAAGCACTGCGCGCAGGCGTCGGGCACGGTCTCGCGGGAGCGCGCCATGCTGCGAGAGAGCACGGCGCAGGCGACGCAGACGGGCCACTGGGCGTCGAGGGTCGCGTTGCCCTGGGTGGCCGAGTCGTAGCCGTTTTGGATGATTGCGTCGCGCTGGTCGAGCTCGTAGCTGGGATCGAAAGTCGAGACGTTGGAGTGTGCGACGTAGGGAGCGTTGGGGAGGTAAACAACCAAGGGAGGCACGCGCTGGTTGCCCGAGAGGGTGAAGTTTGAGGCGTTGCAGCCAAAGAACGTCGGGCGGCGGTTGAGGCCTAGGTTAATGAAGGTGTTTGCGTCCGGGACGGGGGGGAAGAGGGTGCCGTTTGCGATGGGCTGGGCGACGCGGTCGTAGGTTGCGCGGAGGGCTGTGCCGTTGGGCCAGTTGTAGTTTGTGTCGGCGGAGGAGTCGACGGCGAAGATGACGTCGACGGCGCGGTTGGGTTGGATCAGGGGGTGGAGGGGGATGTTTTGGAGGTCTTCGCCGCCGTCGACGAGGGAGAGCTGGGTCTGGTTTGCGTTTACGTTTGTGCGCGGGTTGTAGCCGTAAAAGGGGTTGGGCACGTATTGGGCGATGTCGTTGTTGTCCTGGTCCAGGACGTTGAGGATGGTGGTCAGGGCGGACTGGATGAAATCGGGCAGGCCGGCGGAGGAGAGGTTCTGGAGCATGAACTGGTTGAAGAGGGAGGAAGAGGTGCCCATGACGAAGCCGGCCTGGTCGAAGCCGCGGACGCAGGAGCCGTTGTCCGGGATGCGGCCGGCGGAGAAGTTGGAGGCGAGGTAGCGGAGGGGAGCGAAGCCGTAGGCCGTGTTGTCCCAGGTGCCGAGCTCAAAGGGGTTGAACTCGTAGACGGTAGCGTTGAGAGAGATGATGCGCTCGTTGGGGGCGCGGCCGTCGGCGACGAGGATAGGGAAGGGCTGCTGGCCGGACTGGAAGTCGGGCTCGTCGGCGATGGACGAGAAGGTGTAGGCCGGCCCGCCGTCAGTGGCGTTGATGAGCTGGTAGGAGAGAGCGCGGCCCCAGTAGTCCGTGATGGAAACCTCGAAGCCTTGATCCTTGGTATCGACTTGCTTGGCAACATCTCTCCAGTACTCGGCTGTGTTGAGGATGGAGAGGCCGGATTCTTTGGGGCCCGAGAAGATAGATCGATCGAATTTCCAGACAGCGGATCCCTTTGAGCCGCGCTGCAGGTCGACCACGGAGGAGAAGTTGTTCGTGAAGATGGAGCCGACGAGCCATCCACCGCCAGAAAGACCGGCAACGTAAGTGGCGGACTGGAGGAGGCCACCGATCTGGCCAGATGATGTCGAGTTGGGGGTCCGGCTGTCTGCGGCAGCAAGGAAGCCGGCGCCGTTCATGAGGGCCCGGTACCCACCACCTGACACGGCAAGGGCGATGTTGGGCAATTGCGATGATGATGAGCTTACACGGTCAATATAGGCACCGGCATCAAAGTTGGGAATGCTGACGCGAGTTAGGAACTCGCGCATGGGTTCGACTGTGGCTTTGCGGCGAAGGGGGAGCCATGCTGTCTCGTTCGGCGACAGGGCCGATGCGGACCGGATTGTAGGACGGGCGGACGGGCAGTCGACGATCGCGGGTGCGTAGCCTCCCGAAGGCGAGTTCGGGAGGGCGCGGGGGTCCAGGGCCTCCATGATGAGCCCGGCCGCCATTGGCTTCACGGGATCAACCGCCCACACCGGGGCAACGGCAGCTGCCACTACCAATAGGGATGAGAGCATCATTGTATGTGAATCCTCCTTTGGTCCTAGGCCTATTGGAATAGTCGAACCAGAGGCGGTGGGTTTGTAAGTGGGCGAACAGAAGGGAAGCTTGAAAGGGGGTATCAAAAAGAGGATGGGGTTGTGAAAGATATACGGATAACCCAGACTCCAAAATAGAAAAAGGATGGATCGGAAGGGACGGTAGAGATGGGCGACGGATGGACACTACTAGTAATAGGATCCAGCGATTGTCGACCTTGTGGGCATGGCCCAGCGGCTGTGCGGTGCGGCGACTTTGACGGGGATGAGGAAGCTTCGGCCTTTTTCACGGACCCGTCGAGCTAAAGAAGGTTTACGCCTGGTGTCTGCCGGTATGACGTCGAATTGGAGAGTTTTTGAGTGTGAGCGCGGTCCTTCTTTTTAATCGGACTGAGACGTCGGGATGCCGTGGTCTTTTTTTTTTTTTTTTGCTACAAGAGGGCCCCTTGTTGGCCAATGCTTGGTTGCTAATGGAGGAGCGATGCGATTTGACGGGAGGATCAGTTCCTGCGTTATCCAAAGTGGGTGTTGGGATGAGTTGTCAATGGTGAGAGCTAGGATTAGTAGCTGAGCTCCCAATGACCGTTCCCAGACGTGACGACGTTCTGCGAGAACGAAGTGGACTTAAGGTTCGGGAGACAGGCAGATATTCAATCTCAGGGTACTCAAGCGAAAAGAGAGCGTGATCCAGCGGCTATTAAAAGGGATTACCAACGGCGGAGCATTCCACGATACGACAGTGGAGTCTGAGTCTGTCCGTGAACCTGGACAAGGTCTTTGATTGAGGTGATCTTTGATCTGACCCTGTGTGCCGTATCCGTAAAGTTTCATGTATGGACTGACGAATAAGAGGGAGATGAGTACTGTGTAACCCGCAGAGCCTAATAAGCTGGGCGTGCTGGGCAGCTGAGGCGGGATGAGATGAGTACGCGGAAATTGTGGCTATGGAGCGAATGGGAAGATCCGGATCACCCGGCTTGGCTAGTGATGATGTGAGGTCAGGATCCAAAGGAGTCTTAGTACTCCGTACAGAGTTGTGGTCTGGTGCCCCAAAGAGGGAATTTGTAAAAGGCAAAAAAGGCGGCCTCTTTTTCTGGGGCGATCAGAAGCTCATTGGAAACAATGTGGAGCCTTAGGGATACGCGGGTGCCGAAGATGAGAGAGGATCCGTAAAAGAGTACGATAGGGCAGAATTCGGTCCAAGATGCCGACGGGGAGATGAGAAGACAGTGAGCGCCCGGATCCGGATGATGCAAGGAGATGACAAACCCTGTGAGAGATTAGTACAAAACGAGAGAGAAGGGCGAGAGAGCACGGTAGCCCAGGGCGCGATGAGGTCAAGCGCCGCAGTGCTGAAGCGGCGGGTTCCACGGTCTCGGGTGCGGCGTTTTATGAGATGGAACCTGGTCACTCGGTGTGGCATCTCGCATGCCGCATTCTCTGTTCGTACAAATCATGTGCATCCGTAGAGGGAAAAGTACGGATACGTCGCCTTGCTGTCGTGTGCTCGTGCAAGTGTTGTGCTCGTGCCCGAACTGTCAGACTTGAGCCCTTCCTTGAGGTGGTTAGCCATCAGTCGCAAGCCTCCTGAGGCGTTTGATGCTGATTCCCCTGCCATCGTCTTCCCCAATCCGGACAATATGTGACATGTCTTCCATCCGTGCTGACCGCAATTCCTCGGCATGCCATCGTATACAATACGGCACTCTGCCTCCTGCCTCCTGCCTCCTGCCTCCTGCCTCCTGCCTCCTTTCAAAGCCCCCGCCATCGAGTGGTGGGCGAATGGCAGCGACAGATTTGTGTGGGTGAGACGAGGCATGCGTCGACACAGCAGGGCCAAGAACGGTGCCTGGAATCGATCGGCGGCAACGGAAGAGGCGGAGGCTAACACGGTTGGTGTTGGTGCGATGTGTTGGCCTGCTGTGTGTGTGTGTGTGTGTGCGTGCCTGCGCCATCCCATTGCTGACTCTCATGCTCTGCTGCGGCTGTCTTTGCTGCTGCTCGCCGAGGTCGCCGCCCAGCCCTGAGAACACACGACAACGTAACCCCGATGGAAGTCTGTCGGGAAGTATGGAACGATATCCTACTCATGCGGACCTCTGAGTCTGTCCGAGCCCTTTCCAGGCGGAGCGCGCACTATATACGGAGTTTGTGAGGAGACGACCTGCTTCGTACAGCCCCAGGTATGCAACTGTGCTTGAGTTTGCCATGTTCCTTGAGCCTCGGGTTGCCCTATGGCCTGCATGAGCCTCCCGAGGGTCCAATGAAGGGTCGATCCCGAGCCAGCCACTACCGGAGTTTTGCTTAAGGGCCCCATGGCGTCAGAAGGTGCCGCCGCACCGCATTAGCGAGTGCTGGTGCGGGCAGACAAGCCTGTGTCTAGGGTGTGCCTTGTCAGAAGGGGCAGGCCGGAATAGAGTAGGTTGCAGATTGAGTGCGGGGAGAGAGATGCTCTCTATTGCCTGAGATCTCTTGGATACGTCAAAACGGGACGAGGATGAGTACGCCGTGCTTCGGCCAGGCGCGATTGATGATTCTGCGCGAGGTGGAATGTTTCAGCGTGGCCCAGAAGAGTCCACAGCAAGATCCCCTTTGAGCCACCTCGACGTCAGACGGTCGACACGCCGTTTGCTTGAACCAGGAGCAAGCATGGTGAGCGTTGGATAGGTGTAGGTAACAAAGCGATGCTGGTTCTAACGTCGCGACTAGCCAAATTCCATTCGTTAGAGCCTTATCAAAGAGGTTAGCGACCTGAGGTCATCGTCACTCGCAAAGTATGTCATTTCTTGTGGATGTCACGGCGAGCGCTCTCTCGGCAGTCTAGGCTTGGCTGTTTGGTGTAGCAGACATGCATCGCGTTTGATGGATGTGGTACAGGTCGCGTGGGAGATGCCGTTGGTAAACGCATGAATTGTATCGTTGTTTATCAACAACACAATCAGGTGTTGATGCACTGCTTGCTAGAGGTCACACTGGCGTGATGGGAGATCCAACATCTTATTCGATGACGCGGTGTAGACTAGGATCGGGCGTGTTCTTCTTGTTAGCGATGTTGTTTTGACGAGCGAACAGAAGAAAAGTAGTAGACGGCTGGCAGATACCGGGTCGCCAGGTGTCAAGGGTTTCCAGGGTCGAGCACCTGACATTTTGTGGAGTTTTCCCGGGAAAGGGCTGCGGCGTTCCGAAAGTGGACCCCTTTTGGAGGTTGACATGGCAACGGCAATTACGCGAAGCTCCATATCAACAAAACCCTCCGCCCGCTCTTCCCTGACTTTGAGCTTCCAGTTCAACCATCGCAGCATCATGTAAATAAACGACAACATACTCTCGACAACCACAGTGTACTAATCCAACCAGCAAACACAACCAACACCCGTTCTACCTCATCTTTGTTTTTTTTGCACTCGCCCTCAAACCCCACGCACACACAAGATGGAGCCTCAATCACCCCCTAAGCGTATTACGCGCTCCAGAGCTGCAAAGACTGCCGATACCACGACCAACACTAGAGCTACCAAGATCGTGACCGCTGCGGCCAAGGCGAAAGCCAGCGTTTCTGCCCCGACGCGATCGACCTCAGCGAAGAGAAAGACACGAGCCGATGATGCTGAGGAGGAAGAGCACACCGAAGAAGCACAGCAATCCGAGGACGCACCTCGTGCCACAAGAGCTACCAGAGGCCGCCCCAAGAAGACAGAAGAGCCTGCTATACCGGCAACAGTATCCTCATCATCAAGTGGTGTTCCTGGCCGAGCAACTCGTGCACGAGCTGCTGCGCGCCAGGTTTCTGGCACACTTCCCTCAGCTCCCAAAGATGAGCCAGTAAAGCCTACCCGTGGCCGGCCTAGAAAGGTGGCAGCTGAAGAATCTGCCTCTAAGGCAGCGGAGCCGGTGAAGAAGACGACGACGCGTACTCGCGCCGCACCAGTCACAGCAGCAAAGCCCGCCGTCAAGAAGACGGTAACATTCCAAGAACCCGAAAAGGAAAACATCGCTCCTGACGCAAGCAAGAAGACGACCGAGAAGCCCGCAGCTACCACTGGTCTCAGGGGCAGACCAGTACGAAAGCCTCCCGTTCCCAAGGCACCTCGATCGACCAAGTCCGCCGCCGCCGCCGCCTCCACCGCCACGAAGACGGACAAGACTCCTTTGAGCCCTAAGAAGGTTACTCAGGTCCCAATGCCTCGCGACTTCTCCGATGACGAGTTGGCCGGCCCGGACACACCCCCGCGACCAATGATGAAGAGCCCGACAAAGCCGCCCACTGGTGCCCTCGGATCCTCCAAGAAGCTCAACTTGCTGCCTGCCGATAAGACTTCCGACTCAGAGCAGTTCCATGATGACGAAAACTCCACCAAGCCTACGGAGAAAGAGGATGAAGTCACAAATGCTCTTGCTTCTCCCGCCAAGAGACTTCCCAACTCGCCTTACCGGGACTCGATGAAGTCCCCGGCTAAGCGTGCTGAGGGAGTGTCTCTGAAGCCTGCAGCATCACTACAGGCGAGCGGCGAGAATGGTGCCGCATCCTCATTCAAGTCATCTCTGCTTCAGTCGCCGGCCAAGCGTCCGCAGTCCGCCATCAAGCCCTTTGCTCTGCCCTCGACCAATGAGGGCGAGAAGAAGGTTTCCAACTTCAAGGCTTCTCTGCTTCAGTCACCAGCCAAGCGACCCTTGTCTCCTATCAAGGGTATGACCGCAAAGCCCATGGAGCGACTGGAAGAAATGCAATCTCCCGCCACAAAGCCTCTGTTGCTGTCCACACCCACTGCTCTGCGCCCTGTCAAGCGATCTTCCGAGAAGCTCATGGCTGAAGAGTCGCATGCCGATGCCGAGGATGACGAGGAGCTCGATGAAGTCGCCGAGGCCATGCTCAACGAGTCCATTCATTTGGAAGAGCCGATGCAGTTCCCCGGTCGCCTTTCAGCTGTCTTGCCAAGGCATGCCGACCCCGTTCTCAAGAAAAACATTCCTGTTCTGGAAGC